GGATTGACAAATTAATAACACATTAATACATATTAATTACTCGTTCAATTTTATGTATTTTGGACAATGTGAAGCACTACACTGCAGTTAACCATTAAGTCCTGTATGCCACTGTGCCTTCAACATGGTGGTGGTAGTATGAGGGAAGACTGATTGAGGGAGGGGGGAGAACTCTGAGAACTCAGTCTGGAGTTCTGGGCAGCTTCTGCCTGCAGCTAGAAGGCCAGACCCCCCCCACCCCGCCCCCTCATAGCTGTAGTAGGACTGATGTAGGACTGAGGAACAGGGAGGAGATGGGGTGGCGGTGGGGACTGCGAACACTTCATCACGGGGACAGAAGGTGAGGATGTGAATTTATAGGAAGTTAGATTGGAAGAAGGAGGGGTATCAGGCATGTCCCTCCACCCAAACTTCAGTTATAACATAATACATTACATTAAATAAAGGAAAGCAGAAAACATGTTTACTGACATATTATTGGTCTTACTAAAAAAACAAAGATAGCTCTAACTTCTTTCTTGGTGCTCTAATATCTTTAAAATACTAACACTAACATGTAGAAAACTAAAAACAATAGGACACTACTGTTTACTGTTTACTGGACTGGAATGTTTCATGGATATAAAATTAAAAATCAACATCATGATATGTCAGTATCATAGTACGTTGGTATAGGCACTATATTATGCACCACTAGCAAAATTTCTTTAAATAAAATCTGTAGTTTTTTGGTTAAAAAAAGCATTTGTTTCTCACAAGGAGCAGCCAAGTGCCTCCACAATGTGAAAATCTTCCAAACATTTCCAAGTCCTTGGGACATTTGTGCCCCCACAAATAGCTGAAAGCATCCATTTTTGTCTTTGTGTGATGTTTCCATGGTCTTCTATGTAAGTGGGTGTAAATGTTGTTGTGCTCCGCCTAACTCAACTCAGCAACCAAACCATCAGCTTTTCTAAAAAGTGTAGTTTGGGGAAGCTGCCAAAAGTCCCCACAATGTAAAAACGTTCATGCATTCCATTATCCAGTCCCCACAAAAACCTAAATACAAGGCCACACACACAGTCCCCCACACAAATCCCTCTTCACAAAGTCAGGCCATGCTTGTGTGAATTGAGCATTCAGTTTTTTTTCACCTTTGGATCAGTCTTCCCCGACAAACAAACTCCCTTTAATGACTTTTTAAGGAGCAGGACGGGGAGTGACGAACCCGGCCGCCAAGCCCAGCCTCCGCTGGCGCTAAACAGCAAACAAGGCTGCTGTGTTTACAGTGGTTAGAGGCGAGGCGGAGGGAGCCTGTCGCGCCTCAGTCACACACACACACACCTGAGCGCATCCTTGCACTCCACAATGACTCATTGTCGAGTGTATTACCGTCGGTTCCGCCAAGCCCTGCTCTCCACATCTGTCACTCCGCTTGGCTCGAGCTTTTATTATTTATTTTGGTCAATCTGTTCTGCCTGATGTGGGGAGGGATCCCTCACATGAGTTCACATCTGCCGAGAGATGTCACATGAGTTAACATCTGTCCCTGTTTTTGTACGCCTGTCAGTCAACTCGGCCACGGGCTCCAACGCGCAGACAGGCTGCGGGGTAATGATCGGATGTCTGAGCGAATACAGGATACAGGCCAATCGGTAAACACATACAGTCTTATGCAAAAGTTTGGGCACTCTGGTGAATAGTAGATTTTGTTGGTTTTCTAGTAGCAAAGAAGTTAACACACCATCTATTAACTTAAATCGAGTCAAATCAAAGTTTATTTATATCGCACATTTCACAACAGGTGTTTGTCATGAAGCAGCCTTACAGAAAAATCCGGGTCCAAGCCCCTATGACCGTCACCAGTGGTGACAGTGGCAAGGAAAAACTCCCTAAGAGCAAGAGGAAGAAGCCCTGAGAGGAACCAAGACTCAAAAGGGGAACCCATCCACCTCTGTTCGACACCATGTAGCAAAACAATATGCAATTTCTGCTAATTTTAATGCACAATTTTAATCTATTTGCTTTTTGAGTTTAACATATTGGAAAAAATGATAAAACGCAAGATCTGCCATGTGCCTACACTTTCGCACAGGTCACATTTTATGTTTTGTTTTTTTTTCTAAAATTCAGCGAATAAGCAGAAATTGTGCATTAAAAACTTTGTAGATGTGCATTCCCACAAATTATAGTCTTTTCAATTAGAAAATGAACAAAATTTGACCAAGGGTGCACAAACTTCTGCATTAAAATGTTTAAGATACACACACTTTATAGCTGCACAATTACTGTTAATCATTGCAATTATATCAACCTTGACAATACTGATCACATGTCGGCAGTATGCAGATAAGCCTCCACCCACTGTTTTATTGTGTGATGCAAGCATAGATGACAACTGTGGTGAGGCATTAGGTCACTGGTCAGCCTAGATCTAAAGTTGGGAGGTCAATGGCCTCACCAGTCCTAACACAAAGCTACAGAATAGCTGTGATGAAAATGAACATGACAGTGAAAAAGCAAAAAACAGAAAGAAAACAGGTGCAACAGCGACCAGCATGTGCGAACTTGACGTAGGAAGTAGCCTGGCTTCGTGGTCAATTACTGCAACAATACCAATACGATGTTTAGCGAGATTTAACTGACTTAATTTCACATTTTTGCTGTGTTTTTCGCTTCGAATTTTACTGTCACTTAGTTAAGACATTATCATTTCAGTGAATTCTGAACACATTTCTCAAAGAGATCTGGCTAATTTAATCACTTCTCCTATTTATCCGCTGTTATCTGTTCATAATGTTACAAGAGATAACACCAAAATTATCACAGCATCAACTTTCTTCTTGAAATTTCTGGTAATTTATGAACGGTTTGTTTGTAAACTGTTGAAAACTGGCCAAGCTTACAATATCACAAGCCAAATGCAATGAGGGTTGGGATGTAACGGAATACAAGTATTGAGAATATATATTCAGTATACAGAGAGTAAGTACTGTATTCAGTCCAAGTTATGCTATTCAGAATAAAGAATACTTTCACAATGTTTACCCACTAAATTTAAAAAATATAAACCATCTTTAACTCTTTATAATCACAGGCTTATTACATACTAAGGCTTATTATTCAGTAACTACAGGGGCTTCAATGCAAACTGGGTTATTCTTAGGTTATATAAGTGTGTAATAAAACTTTGGGCCTTTTGCTTGTTGCCCACTCCACTACTTGGGGGTGGGGGGCTGGGGTGACTTTGAGACTCACTGATAGTCATTTTTGTATAGGTGGGGGCCCAATGAATTATTAATTATAATAAGGTCACTCGACCTGCAACTGTATTGTTTTACGGCTGCTGTAGTCATTTCTAAAGCCGTCAATGCTGGTGCCCTAGCACTGCCACTCCAATGTAACTGAAGGGAAGCACTATGATGCAACTTTCAGTGAAGTCCCTGAGATTTATTGAAAATATTGACATAGGAGAGGTCCACATCCGCACACACAAAGGAAACAGCTTTCATTAGATTAGATCAGTTCAAAAATCCTTTTTTTCTTATGTGAAACTCCGTATTAAACCCAAATAGGCACCCATGGCTGCAAACATACTGACCAATCACTATGTGCTTAACAAACAAATAATTTCAGTAAATCAAATGCAGGTCAATCTTTCAGGCCTCTCCAGTGCATTTTTAGCATAAAGCAAGGCAAATCACAATCGCAATACGTAGCAGTGTAATCGCAATATGGTATTTTGTCCATATCATGCAGCCCTAGCATACACGCCACATCCACATCTGCATGCATGCGATTTCAGACACATGAAACTAGCACAATGATAGACATACGCACGCACACGATATCCATAGCTGGAGTCTGTTGTCACTTCCATGCCATATGCTGTCCATCACAGAGCCGGCGCTGCTTTGGGTGACTGTTCTCTCCAGTCAGTGAGTCCACAGGGCCTGCGCTCACCCCAACTGTCAGCTAGCATCTGCTGGCATTACCAAACAGAGTGCTGGTACTGACGGAGCCGGAGCCCACGCATCCTCAAACTCTGTCTCACGCATATCTGCTGCCTACTAACCATCACTAACATACTCACTCAGGAGAATAGGCTCTACCTGATACTGCTCCACGTCCCCTGGGCTCCCACACACAGACATACGCACCAATCATTCTGCTTCGACTACTTAAACGTTACTCCCTCGCCTTACTCGGAATTAATGCGCCGGATTAGCATCTAAATGCATTCAGCCAAAACAGTGCGGAGAAAATGGCCGCGGATCTGCTTGGTGGCAGGAGGTCAGATATGAGCATCCCCCTCTGTGTACCAGTCAGAATACTGACTCTACAGGGAGAGTGACAGATATGCACATTTTACACCCTACTTAACCTCCACCAGATAGGAATTCTAAACCAATTATGCAAAGAGAAGCAAACACAATCTGGGCTAAATTTAGATTCCTAAAGGGTCCAAATGACACAAAAAAAGGTGTGGTGCATGCTGAGTGACTTCATTTTATCCAGCCTTGTCTTTGTACTGCTTGTCTGGGGCCATATCTCTCCGTCAAATTGAACTAACCCCATCAAGGTTAGCAAACAACAAACAGCGGCGCGTTTATTTTCAAGTTTGTTTGATATTTCGAGTGAACTGTTGAAAGCAAACTGTCTTCAGTAAACCATTGTAATTGACTGAGCAGTGATTAAAGCAATTTTTTTAGAGACTGAGCAGCCTCCGAGACACAACGGAAATAGGCTATAGACAACATGTCACTATGCAAGAGCTATTACTCCTCGTTTTTTCTCCCTTCTGTGCCAAAACCTGACTGTTAAAGGTATTACTCTTCCACGCTATAGCTTTTACTGTGTGCCAGAGACATATAAAAGGAAAGGAAATAAACACCATGCTCATTATTTTAGCTGCTAAATACAGCAGCCATCTAATCTACTGAGATGAATTCAGATTTAGGGTTATTTTCAGCAGGCGATTTTCTATATCTGCAATTAATCATATGTTTACAAACTCTCACCGATTTTGTGCTGTATTTCGGCTGATTGGTCTTGTAACTGTAATCCGAGTACTGGTCCGAGCCGGTAGAGTTGTCATCTCCTCCTGTTCCCACAAAGGTGTTTGTAGCAGGGAGCTCCTGGACAGCCTGGTGCTTCTGGGAGGCAGATGGAGACTGGGCCTGGAGCTGAATGGAGGGCAGGGGTGAATTGGAACGGTAATGTCTGCCCAAGTCGGGGCTGCCAGGCGGGTAGGTCAAGGGTAGGTGGATCCTAGGGCTGTCGTTGACCCCATCAATGTTAAATTTCAAACTCTTCTGGAGGCTAACTTCCTCTTCTTCTCCAAGAGGTTTGGGTGACTTTGGAGGCTTGCCCTTTCTCCCTTTTTTGCCCTTGATGCTCTTTGGCCCTTGCTTGGGGGCATATAGGTCCTTGGTCTCCTTCTTGCCAGCTTGGTAGCCGCTCTTGGTTTCTCGCTGGAGACGATGCCTGATGAAGACTACCACTATGATTACAGTGACAACTCCTGCCACACCAGCCAAGCTGCCATACACAATGTTGCTTCTCTGGGTAGCTAAACCATAGTCTGGGTCACCTGCAATGTCCGTATCCAGAGGCGTGTACAAACTATGTCCCACTAGAGCCTCCACGAGGCTGACATTTGCAATGGTCTCATTAACGTAAATGTGAACCAAGGCAATGGCGTGGCGTGAAGGCTTACCCCTATCGCTCACTTTCACCACCAAGCGATGCAGGCCTCCATGTTTTCGAGTCAGTTCCTTGGATAGTTTGATCTCCCCATCAGAGGGAGAGATGTCGAAGAGGTCATGGGGATTCCCGCCAGTAATGCTATAGACCAGTTCAGCATTGGAGCCAGAGTCTATGTCTTCTGCCTCCACTACTTCAACAACACTGTCAGGTGCAGCCAAAGGAGACAAACGTCTGAAAGATGAATTTGAAGGTTTGGTAACAACAGGAGCATTGTCGTTCTCATCAAGAACATTGATGGTCACACCAACATAAGATGACCTCGGAGGTTCCCCTCCATCCACTGCTTTGAGTCGAAAGGTGTAGCTGCTTTCTTTCTCCCGGTCAAAAGAGATGCTGGAAAGGATGGTCCCTGTGCCATTCTGGACTACAAACTTTCCAACATCAGGTTCCACGGAGAGCTGCACTTGGGCATTTTCACCCTTATCCATGTCTAATACAGTCACCATGCCGACAGGGCTAAGCGGTGGCATATTCTCCTGGACAGAGAAGCTGTAACTACTCAGCATAAACTTGGGATCATTGTCGTTCCTATCCAGAACTTTAATCACAACTGTGGCCGTTCCTCTGTGGCTGGGAACACCCTTGTCGGCCGCAGTAACACGGAACTCATAGCGTTCCTTGTGCTCACGGTCAAGTGGGCTCCTTGCTCGTACTTCCCCTGAGCTGGGGTCGATCTCAAATAGGCCCCTTGTTGAGGAGTCCGCAATGATGCTGTAGACAAGCTCTGCATTGGTGCCACTGTCCGCATCCTGAGCAACAACATCAAGAACCTTCTCTCCTGGTTGGTTCTCTTCAGCAAACTCTACTTCGAACAGTGGTGGTGAGAATATGGGAGAATTGTCATTAGTGTCAGTCACCTGTACTTTCAGGGAATTGGTGCTGGACAGAGCTGGGTTGCCTGAGTCGACGGCCACAATCTCCACCCGGTAGTCCCTGACCCGCTCGTAGTCCAGAGGCGTGGTAGTCTGCAGGAAGTACTTCTTCTTGTTATCGATAGAGGAATCGCCAGCTGGCCGGAGCTGGAAGGGAACATCACCTGCCACCACACAAGTCACCACAGCATTCTCTCCCTCATCCTTATCTGAAACCTGCACGAGGGCCACCGCTGTGCCAACTGGCATGTCCTCTGATATATTTGCTACCCCATCACTATGGGTCCTAAGACCAATACCACGGATCTCCACAGCTGGTGCATTGTCATTCTGGTCAGTCACCTCAATGGAAACATATGCTGTGGAGCTTTTGGGAGAGGGACCTTTGTCCCGGGCAATGACATGAAATTTCAGGCTGCTGATCTCCTCACGATCCAATGAACCTCTGACAGATATGATGCCAGTTGAATGGTCGATCTGTAGCAGCTTTGGCACTGGGTCGCTGGCCTGATGTATGGTGTATTCTATCTCACCATTTGCACCAAGATCAGAGTCGTTGGCCTTGACCTACAAGCAAAAAGATTAAAAAGAGATGAGAACTCAGAATGAAATATCTGTAAAGCTTTAAGTACTAACAGCCTAAAAAGTCACACAGAGAGGATGTGGTAGGTTCAAAGACATATCAACATAAATGTATTTAACCCACCAACATAGATATTTAGAACATAAATCTGGGCAAGTTACAAAAATGTTCTAATCCTGAGGCAGTTCTAAAAAGAACTGCATTCCTAAAAACATGATCTGAGGCACCACAGTCCCATATGTAAAATAATTTAAAAGCTGTTTCACAGTTTAGTTAAATTATTTAAGTCTCTGAAAGACTGACCACTAGAGAATATTGCAAGGGCTATTAAAGTCATGAGGAAATAAAAGGTTCATCCAGGACAAAGTTACTCAGGAATAGAAGTAAAAAAAAAACAACTGTGTATTAAGTCAACCTATATTTTTCAAGCAATTAAGCTAGGTGAACTTAGCGAACCAGGCATTGCTCTGCTGATATAAAGCATCAAAGCAAAGAGAAAGTAGTTGGGGGGTTAAGACAGCAGTGCTCATTAAAAACTTGCACACTCCCTGATGATGCAATATACTTCCTCTCCTTCCTCACTGAGATCTAAAGGTTAACAGTACTGTATATCTCTCTTTTTGTACCTGCAATACTGAGTGCCCAACAGGACTGTTCTCTGAAACTTCTGCTTCGTAGGAGGATTTCTCGAACTGGGGGGCATTGTCATTGGCATCCGTGATGACGACTCTCAGCAAGGCACTGCTGTAGCGAGGTGGGGTTCCCCCATCCACAGCTTTGATGGTTAGGTCGTAAGAGTCTTTCAGTTCCCTGTCCAAGTTTCCCAGCACAATGAGCTGAGGCAATTTCTCGCCCCTGTCATTTGCCATTTGCAGGCCAAAGAGCGCACCAGCCTCAGGTCCAGCGTTCAGGTCATACTTAACTACTCCATTCCGTTCTGTGTCTTTGTCAGTGGCCTGGGGGATGGAGAAGGTGGCCCCCATATGAGCGTTCTCCTGCACCGAGAGAGTAAGGACAGGTGAGGGAAACTGCGGGGTGTTATCATTGATGTCCAGCACTTCAATCCGTCCCTCAATCAGCCGGGGGCTCTGGTTCTGGATGAGGTCTGTGACAGACACTTCAAACTCCAGAAAGCATGGCTTCCCCTTGATTCGGCAATCCTTCAGGGTCTCTCTGTCTATGGGGATCTCGGTAGTGAAAATCTCCCCTGTTTTCCCATCCACCCGCAGGTAAGGGGCGCCCACCTCCAGCTTATACAGATGTCCAGTATCTGGTAAGCCCTGGTCAGCTGCCAGGCTGCCTATCAGCGTGCTTGGCGGCTGTTCCTCTCGCACGCGGTAGAGGATGCCACCCAGAGCCCCGTTGATTGAGTCCACCAGCAGGGCCCACAGCAGAAACAATCCCACAGAGAAAGCCATGATGCCCTGGGGAGGTAGCACCTCAGTCTGGAAAACAAGAGAGTGAGAAAAAAACAAGTTAAACTGACAAACAGGAGTGCGGCGAGGCAGGTTTGTCAAACAGTTTTACAAACACTTCAAAATCCTAACGTTCTAGATTTATTTTGCAGCAGAGGGCTATGTGAGGATAAAGCAGAATCCGCACACCCTGAGAACTCTGTTTTAAATACACTGCGAACACTAAATCCAGGGCTAAAAGTACTAAAAGCTCTTGGAAAACGCCTCTTCCCCTGGTACCACTAAAAGCCTCCATTCTCATTATCCTGCATTATTCATCACACTCATTTTTTTGACTAGAGGACAAAAATCACTGGTGAGACAAAGAAGGAAAAGCAGAGGAACACTGTACAAATGTTTATAAAGGAGTTTAATTGCATAAAAAATTCTATCCTCCTCTGACAGAGCATATCATAGTGTTCCTCAATTTAGCACGGGCAACAAATTCAGTGTTTCTCCTAAGACTTAGAGTTAAATCATCCTCGTTAATGCCACACAGGAAACTGCTAATTATCACCCTTTTGACTGCCTGTCCAAGCTAAGCTGCTTTTGGAAATTAATGATTTAACACCAGTAATAAGGCGGTCCTTAATGGGCTTTTTTATTAAGGAGGTATGGGTGACTGTGTGGCTCACAAAGACAATAGCTCAGCAAAGTTGCCATTATTTACAGCATCAGTTAAGCCCAGCTCATAACCAGGTTGCAATGTATTTTCCCCTAGATGTGCTAAACTCAATAGGAATTTACTAGCAATGATGCTCTCATTAGCCTAGAGGACCGAGAATTGGGAACATATCGCTTAGCTAAGGGCTTTTCATTCATCCATAACATTTAGGTGGTCCTTGTCTTTAGGACGGGGTTAGGAAGGAATATTTACACAGCAGGGACACCGTTCAGCGTCACAGAGTGCAACAGATCCTGAAGGATTTAGAACCCAGCTCGAGCGCGCTGATGCCAAGTTCCCCTATACCTAGGTCACAGAGCACCTGAAGGCCTATCCTTTATCTCACCGCACAGATTTACTTTAAAGCTTACAAGAAATCTCCATCTCATCTCGGCTCTGCTGTTTCGGGCTAATTTACACACTGTAATGCTTGTGTTTGATTTCTAACCTGCTATGCCTCCTCATTAATGAATACCCTCTATTTTAGCTTCTGCTTTGATCCATATTCCCCAAGCTAAAGACTTCACTTTTTTTCCAGGCTCCACATCATTGCAGACTTTAATTATTTCCCGAGAAGGAAGATTCCTTGTTGTGATTTGAAAGAAGAGCAGACAGTATTGAGTCGAATTGTCTTAACACCCCGACAGCAAACTCCTTGACAGTGTTTGTACGCAAAATACTCATGTTAACATCCGCGCAGGAGCACCAGACTGAACGAGGGGTCGATACAGTTTTGCACCACCATGCGAGCAGCCGTGGTCCCACAGAAAGCAAATGAGTGTAACACAAAACAGCTAAACACAGGAAAGCATAGAAATCCAATCCGAAATCCAATTCCTCTGTATCCGTTAAGATTGGGATTGCAGCATATTGATGCACTAATTGCTGGGTTATTGATGTGTCCCTTTTTGCATTTGCAGGGGCAGCCTCCTGTCGATTTGCTTGGAATGATAGCGTGGGGGCTAAAAACATGATTAGAAAGTGGGACATAAAGCCCAGTTTCTGAAGGCCTAGGCAATAACTCCATGACTGCCTGAAGCTATGGGCTGAGAGACCTTACAGAAAGGTTAATGGCTGCCTAGAGAATTCTTGCTATGAACCAGAACAATACTTTTTGGAACAATATTAATATGCATAATGTGAAAATACAGCATTCTCTAGATCTGTGATATACAGTCTAGATGTGCATTTGCTTTCTGAAGTCTTTTGGGTTTTACAGACAGGAACTGTGACAGTATGAACCTCTTCAGTAGTGAAAGATAACAGACCACCACAGATCTCACCAATGACATATGTCACAGTACCTAGAGATTAAAATGCGTTTATGTGGAACTAGGGCTGCATAATAATCATATTTTGTACTTATATGAGTGTCCGCATGGGGCAAATCATTAAGGGCTGCAATAACAGAGGAGGTCAAATCGCATTAGATGTGAGAAATGTCTAAATATAGGTCACTGATGTGCTCCCATGACCCAGACTCGAACCCTACTCGACAGTGTGCAGCACAAGTGATTTAGGCACTCTTCACTATATATGTGTATGCGTGTATATATATATATATATATATATATATATATATATATATACATATATATATATATATGTATATATATACACCGATCAGGTATAACATTATGACCACCTCCTTGTTTCTACGCTCATTGTCCATTTTATCAGCTCCACTTACTATATAGGTGCACTTTGTAGTTCTACAGTTACAGACTGTAGTCCATCTGTTTCTCTGCATACTTTGTTAGCCCCCTTTCACCCTCTTCCTTAGTGGTCAGGACCCCCATGGACCCTCACAGAGCAGGTACTATTTGGGTGGTGGGTCATTCTCAGCACTGCAGTAACACTGACGTGGTGGTGGTGTGTTAGTGTGTGTTGTGCTGGTCTGAGTGGATCAGACACAGCAGTGCTCCTGGAGTTTTTAAACACCTCAGTGTCACTGCTGGACTGAGAATAGTCCACCAACCACAAATATCCAGCCAACAGCGTCCTGTGGGCAGCGTCCTGTGACCACTGATGAAGGACTAGAGGATGACCAACACAAACTGTGCAGCAGCAGATGAGCTATCGTCTCTGACTTTACATCTACAAGGTGGACTGACAAGGCAGGAATGTCTAATAGAGTGGACAATGAGTGGACACAGTGTTTGAAAACTCCAGCAGCACTGTTGTGTCTGATCCACTTGTACCAGCACAACACACACTAACACACCACCACCACGTCAGTGTTACTGCAGTGCTGAGAATGATCCACCACCCAAATAGTACCTGCTCTGTGAGGGTCCATGGGGGTCCTGACCACTAAGGAAGAGGGTGAAAGGGGGCTAACAAAGTATGCAGAGAAACAGATGGACTACAGTCTGTAACTGTAGAACTACAAAGTGCACCTATATAGTAAGTGGAGCTGATAAAATGGACAATGAGTGTAGAAACAAGGAGGTGGTCATAATGTTATGCCTGATCAGTGTGTATCATAGTGTAGTGTATTTTTTATATTGTATTTTATGCGTGTTATTCTGAAATGTGTCTTCACTTTGAATAAGAATCATTTTTAACAACTGAAGTAAATCTACAACAAAAAAATAAATTGAGCAAAATAGCAAAAATGGAAATTAACAATATATAAACAGATGTCAATATTGCTTTTGAACTCTTATATGATAAAGGCAAGTGCATGTAAAGCCATCAGACAGCTGGAATTTGGTAAATATTACAAGTTATTTACACTGATCAGTGCAGAAAACCAGCTAATCTCTATGCTAGGCTAATGGATAGCAGCTAACCCCAAAAGACCAGCTGTTCTTTCGACTCTCTTGGTAATTGGTTATTAGTATAATGGTACTAACAAAACGAATACCTTATTAACATATCGAATGATCTGCTATATATATATATATATATATATATATATACATATATATATATATATATATATGTGTATATATATATATATATATATACACACACTTGAAAATACAAAAATGTTTATTCCACTTGCTTATAATCCCTAAGAGGTATCTGGTCAACACCTGGACAGAAGCTCTATTGAAGGAACCATTTAAAACACACTTATTATTACTTTTATTACTTCAAGGAAATCTGACTATTGTATTAACAGCCAGAATAAAGTGAACAAAAATGCGCGAGTTAATATTTCATTACCTTTTTTTGCACATTGTGCTTTAGGGTTAATTATAGCTTGGTTATATTCCTTTTTCAATTACACAATAAAAGGCAAATAAATAAATAAATAACTCTGATTCTATACTCGTTGCACACCCAGTCAGAGACACACTATTCTGATTATAATTTGTCACTTCTTACATCATCATAACACTATCCAACAGCTGAGCATTGCATATCATATCTGTATCGCACAGCCCTCAATGAGAAGCCAGGAAAGACTAACTCGCCATCAATAAAATGCAGTATGGTAATTATATTCAACACACAGCAGGAGACGCTTACACACCACCATGTTAGACTGACAAATCTTAACCTCATTTATAAAACTCATATCTGTACCAAATTCAGCTTTAAAGCTGCTTTATTTTTCATCAAACTGATTTGCCCATCCATTATTTGCAATACCACCTTTAAGATGCCTCATTTAGCCGTAATCAAGGTCCTGTTTACAGACGACACAAACATAAACAAACCATTTCACATTGTCAGTCTTCATATCATTGACTGCTGATGACTGCATTCAATATTTAGCCCACTAAAATAAGGAGGGGAGGCTAAATCCTATCTCCCTCCTTCAGCTGGAGCTTCCACTTTGTGGCTTTCCTACTTTCAACACAGCTACGTCTACCAACTCCATGACCAGCTTTATCCACCGACTTGAAAAGCACTCTATACAACTCCTAAACAGGCAAGGCAACAAACGTCTATCCACATTTGTCTTCCCACATTTTTTGTCTGAACAGAAATAACTTTAAAAAAGCAACATTTTTTTTAGATAAGAGACTTACTAAGCGCCCCATGAGTCCACGCACTCAATCTCCCCCAGATAAGAGTCCATAAACACTCACCAAACAATTTTAAATGCTGTTGATTTTACATCATTCACAGCAGCTACCAAACAAAGGTTTATTCTAACAGCTGAGAATTCAACTGTACGATCCAGAAAACAAGCGTAGGTTGGGGTAAGCATGAAAACACATAGAGGCACTGCTTGTTTCACTGGCTTATAATCCACAAATGTATCTGGTAAACATTTGAGCAGCAGCTCCACTGAAAAAGGTTTACAAAACAGGGAATAAAGCAGCAACAGAGCATTTTAAACAGCACCTATTAACTGTGTGGATTGTGA